TTTAAGGAAAATCGACGCAATTTTTCAAAGTCAATAACATCAGTGAAGACAAATACGTATAAAAGTGCAATACTCTTAGCAAACTTCTCGGATGAAACCTATCGACTCGTACGTAACCTTAAGTACCCGTGCGAGATAGCACCGCTAAGTTACAGAGAACTGGTTGAGTTACTAGATAAGCACTTTGAACAAAACACAGAAACCCAGGCGAGCCATTAGGAGAATGGGCGGCGCGACTACGAGGTCTAGCAAGTTATTCCAACTTTAGTACCGCTTTAGAAATGTTTCTATTGGATCGTTTCTTCCTGGGCTTGAGGAAGGGCCCCGAGCGGGATAGACTATTTGAGCAAGATAAATCAAGTCTTACTTTAGTAAGACTTGATTTATCTTGCTCTCTTGTAAAGGCTTTGGAAATAGCTGAACAAGCAGCTTATACGATAGAGGCCAAGGCTCTAGTAAGCAGTGAAACGGGTTGTAGCATCAAGGATGAGCGAATACTTCGCAGCGATACGACTGCGAATTAAAGTGATCAGTAGTACAATTGTGTTTTATTATGAGTGTGTTTTAAGTTGTAATTGGTGTTCGGTAATTAAAGTGTCAATTTTGGTAATTCAATCGACAGTTTTTACTGTCACGAACCCCAAGCTTGTAACAATAATAATAACAATATAGTGGACATCTATGAAAGTGAAGTAAAAAAATTATTAAATACCTACGCTGACTTATGGAGTAAAGAACTTGGGGCATGTAATAAATTTAAAATTACTTGCACCTTAAAGATAATGCACTACCAAATTTTTTTAAGCCGCGAACTGTGCTTTCTGCTCTGAAATACAAAATAAATTCCGGAATAGATTCCTGATTACGGTAAATTACTCTAAATATGCGACATTATTCGTACGTACATGTTCGGCCGTGAACCGCGACGCGATTAGATTTAATTTCACCTCCTACGAACACAGACATGCAAACATCTTGTGATATTAGTGTAAGGCGATTTAATATTGGTGAAAAGATTTGTGCGCGTTGTTATATGCCCCCGTAAACCATTTTGGTGCAAAGCTACAACTTTAAGTAGAGAAGGTAACAGAATGTGTGCGGTTCCAGTTGCTGGTCAAGGTCTCTGCAAGCGACACGTAGACCAACTGCTGCAATGTACGGACAGAGACAAACCACACGAGACTGCAAATGACGTATGTTATGTATCAGTATTTCACCCGCAGTATCCGACTGCCATCTCTCCTGCACCTCCTCCCGATGTTATGCCAGATAATAAAAATAACGCTCTGCCAGACGGCACAACATCCTCGAACACGCATTCTTGTGCCGACACATCTTCACGAGAAGGCAGTGAGCCAACTTTAACGCTAGATGCGGATAGACGCGAGCCGGTGGTGGCAGATGGGCACAGTGTCTCTGTGGTAGGGATAATAATCGATCGAAAGGATGGTGGGGAACAATCAGAGTCTGCTGTAGCACCTAAGCCCGGTCCTTCCCCTTCCACAATGTGATACCGAACAAAGCATCCCCGCTTCCATTATAATCCAAGACCAAGAAAAAAGAAAATAAAAACTAAAAATACCTTTTTTTGCTGTTATTTGGTTCTCAAATTAATGCGCAAGAGGATGATGTATATACGCACAAGTACTTCGAAATAATGAATCATCATCATCATCATCATTACAGCCCTTCACAAGTCCACCGCTGAACATAGGCCTCCCCCAAGTTATGCCACAAAGCACGGTCCTGAGCCACCTACATCCATCGACTTCCTTCATGTCTTTCCAGGTCGTCACTCCATCTAGTGGGGGGTCGCCCTATACTTCACATATTGGTACGAGGCTGCCACTCGAGAACTTTTTTCCTCATCGGTTATCGGTTCTTCGAGCTATATGGCCGGCCCATTGCCACTTCAGCTTACTAATCCGTTGGGCTATGTCGGTCACTCTGGTTCTACTGCGGATATGCTCATTTCTGAGTCTATCACACAGAGAATCTCCGAGCATAGCCCCCTTCATAGCTCGCTGAGCGACTTTGAGCGTCTTTATACGGCCAGTAGTGAAGGACCACGTCTCGATTCCATAGGTCATCACTTGCATCACGCACTGGTTGTACAATTTAGTTTTCAGATTTTGAGGTATACCTGACGAGAAGATGTGTCGTAATTTCCCGAACGCTGCCCAGCCGAGTTGATCCGCCGAATGATCTCTCGACCGAAGTTGGACTTACCTAGTCGGACTATTTGTAGGTAAACGTACTCGTCAACAACTTCAAGCATAGTGCTCCCGACAACTACCGGCATAGGTGCGACATGGACATTGAACATGATCTTTGTTTTGTCCATGTTCATCTTAAGATCTATCCGTTGGGAGACACCATTGAGGTCATTGAGCATAGTGCTAAGGTCCTCCAGCGCTTCTGCCAAAAGGATTATATCGTCGGCAAATCGAACTCTTGTTCTCGCCACTCTGTACTCGCCATTGATGTTAATACCGTATCCTTTCCAGTTCGTGAGGCTTGAAAACGTCTTACAAGGCAGCGGTGAAAAGTTTCGGGGATATAACGTCACCCTGTCTTACACCTCTTTGCAGTCGGGTAGGTTTCGAACTCTGGTTCTGTACTCGGATAGCCATCGTAGCCCTACTGTATAAATACTTCAGCACTTCGATATACCGACAGTCAATTTGGCAACGCTGAAGAGACTGTAGCACCGCCCAAATTTCGACGGAATCAAAGGCTTTCTCATAGTCTACATACGCCAGGCAAAGTGGCAGATTGTACTCTTCGGACTTCTGCACAATTTGCCGAAGGGTATGTATGTGGTCTATGGTACTAAAGCCTTTTCGGAAACCGGCTTGTTCGGGAGGCTGGAAGTCGTCGAGTCTGCATGCGAGACGATTCGTAATGACTTTCGAAAATAGTATGTAGACCCGGCTCAGAAGGGAAATCGGTCTGTAGTTCTTCAAGAGAGCGATATCGTCTTTCTTGAAGAACAAGACCACCGCACTTCTGCTCCACGCCTCGGAGGTAAGGCCTCCTTGGAGGACGGAATTAAAGAGTTTCTGAAGGACTTCAAGTACCGGTTTTCCACCCGCTTTCAGAAGCTCCGCTGTAATTCCATCCTCGCCCTGGGACTTGCCATTTTTAAAGTGCTGGAGAGCCACTCTAATGTCGCTCAGATTGACGTCCGGGATATCATCGGAATAGTGTCGGATAAGACTTGCTCTTGGATCGTTACTCTCACTTGCTATCACAAAATTGATAAGTATAGAATCGCACTACTACATTGACAAAAGTCACACACACACTAGTGTACGCACGGTTGGCCGTGGGAATCGTAGTCAAATGAAATTATTTTGATAATTTGAAAGATTGAATTTGTTTTTCATTTCTTATACCTACCTCAGAAATATACTTCGATACGAAATACGAATACCTGCTCCAGAGACTGCTTGGCACTGGAAGCCCTCTGCTGGTAGTGAGATGTTAGCTCTGGACTTTAAACTGGTTTTGTCAGTTATAATAAGACCTTACCTACCTGCGGACTTGATGGAGTGACCTGAAGGTGTAATTAAGTAACTACTGCTGGAATTTCTACTCTTTCTTCACTCCATCAAGTCCGGAGGTATGGACTCGTCATAACTAACAAAACGAAGCCCAAATTCGGCACACCTAGTTCTACTCGTTCAGAAATTCCAGCAGTAGTTACTGAATTACCCCTTCAGGTCACTCCATCAAGTCTGGTGGTAAGGTCTCATCATAACTAACAAAACGAACCCAAACTCGGCACACCTAGTCCTACAAGTCTAGGAGTTCCACTTGTAATCACCGAACTACACCTTCAGGTCACTCCATCAAGTCCGGTGGTAAAGTCTCATCATAACCTACAAAACGAACCCAAACTCGGCACACCTAGTTCTACCAGTCTAGGAGTTCCAGTTGCAATCACCGATTTACACCTTCAGGTCACTCCATCAAGTCCGGAGGTATGGACTCGTCATAACTAAGAAAACGGAGCCCAAATTCGCCACCCCTAGTTTTACTCTGCAAGAAGTTCAAATAGCGGTCACGAAAGTACACCTTCAGGTCACGCCATCAAGTCCGGAGGTAAGGTCTCATCATAACCAACAAAACGAGCCCAAACTCGGCACACCTAGTTCCGCTCGTCCAGGAGTTGCAGTAGTAGGTAAGTTTATATATCCTACTTATTTTTAGCTAAATAAAAAACTGTGAGTATAAAAATAATAATTTTATCACTTGTCAAGTACTTATGTTTCCAATTTGTTTTTTTCTAATATTTTGTGTATGTACAGCGATCTTTTCAGAATGAGCCGCTGCAAACAGGCGATACAGTATTCACTCACGATGGCGGCCAAGCGCGGACTGTGGTTTCATCGAAATCTTTGTACAATAAATCAAAGTAGGCACCAACAATAAAATAGCCCTTATTGCAATAGATTATGATTTATCCGTATTAGCAAAATATGTGAAAAAATGTGCATCAGTTTTTATTTTTTCTACGACTATTTGTGACATTTTGATAAAAATAAACACAGGGTTTTTTAATTGAATATGTCTGTTATCTTATAGTATTTTTTAATTTTTTAAATATGTTGATAATAGACCAAAACATGTACCGAAACACAAGCCGGTATCGTTAATTTTGTAGAAAATGGCAACGAAAGTTCGTTTTTACAATATAAAAAACTACTATTTTCAACAAAAGAGTTACAGACGTTTGCAGATGAAGAACCAATCTATACATGGTAGTTTTTACTTATATTTGATTTGGTTTAGTTTTGTCACAAAATCTACCGAAAAACACCCTAACTTTGGTTGATTTGCGAACGCGTCCTTAACAGACGCAAACGTCTGGTACTATGATCGTCAAGTCGTTTGCTATGCATGACTTAGGCATATTCTCCCTACAATGGGAGAAGCTTATGTCCAGAGGTAGACCTTTGACTACTGATTACTATGTAGAAGAAAGAGTCGCTTACGTTATGGTAGTAGCCAATGAAGACCATCTCCTGTAGAGGACGGACGTACTCCTTGAGGATATGCAGCCACTGCCTCTCCAGCCCTAATTGGTTCATGTGGATATCACGGATAGGAACTGATTCGTAGCCACTGTCCAGACGCTTGTCCTGGAATAGGTAGAAGAATCTTTTAAAGATTCGATTTGAAGATTTCGATCTAATTATAATAATAATAGATATATGGGCAGATATGGTCATAATTTTCTTAAAGAATTACGGTGACAAACGAGCACGTAGTCCACCTGATGATAAGTGGATGCTGTGACCAAATGACACCTACATTTATCCTCTATGAAGATTAATAATAGCTCTTTACCAGTAAAATAGGTTCATCTAGTAGATAAATAATTTATTTAATACATGTATTTGTTTGCAATGCAGTTTAAAGACCTTACTGTTGGGAAACGAATGTGCATGCAAAACACAAGTGTGCAGAGCAACGGTGGAAGCGGGGCAGGGGGCGGGCCCACATTGTGCTTGCGTATTTTATTGAGTCTGATAGACATGCGGTTGGCGCGAGCGTGTTTTATTGTATGTATTTGTTTAACTAATTTTAATTGCCGTTTTCGAAAAATATAATATCTAGCAATTTGAATTACTGTTATAATTATGTGTTACTAAGTAATATTGAAATTTCCTTTCCTGACATCAAAGGCGTTTCACAACTGTAAGGTCTAAACCGTGCTAATGCTAAGTGCTAAACTCACAAAAATATAGTATTCCAAATCGAGTTGACATGACTATAATTGTTATGCCATATAAAGTAGAAAATAAGCTCTTCCCTTATTGCAGTGTTTCTGTGATTTTGTTTCTATCAATCTATGATTTCTGACGTAAAAAAGGCTTCGAAAAACTTATACGGATATAATAGCGACCCTTAATAGATCACTCTGGAGACTGAAGCTTAGGTAAGCTGATCCGAAATGGAATAAATCCGGAAGAAGGGAGAGGGATCAATCTTTAAAATAAAATTAACTTTTAATAACGACTTAAACCAAGATTCGTTTGGGTACGAGATAAGTTATTATGGATGTTTAAATTTAAAATAAAAAAAGAAAAACTGGCTTCCACACATATAACCGTTTAGAATCGTTTACTTGAGTATAAATAACTCTGTGTTTGTCTCCGTCTATTGACAATTAGTGAAGAAAAAGTGACCAATTTAAAGCATGTCGTATATTTCAAAGATTAAATCTTTGGCATTTATTTTTATATTTAACACGGCAGATATTTATTTGATAACTTGAGACTATGACGTCATTAATTTCCATTCTCATATAATTTTACAAGGTTTGCTGTTAGTATGAACCAAAGCTGTTAATATGACAAAAATCCTCTGAAAGTTACAACTACCCTCCTGTAATTTATCCGACAACGGACTGGGTAGACCTCCCAAAGTCGACACACAAAATCAAAAGTAATAGTTTAAGGACCTACGCTGAGAATATACCATTTTTACATATCAAGTTCTGTTATATTAAGTCCAAATTGCTAACAACAAAAGAAAAATAGAAAAAAAAAAATACAACTAGGTTGATAATTAATTAATATGTATGATGTAATTAATACAAATATTGCATATTAAAATACTTACGTTATTGGATCTGTTACTCCACTGGCCGAAGGCCTCCATGATCGCAATCCACTCGCTGCAGAAGCGCATCGACATCCACGGGAACCAGTACACTTCAGGGCATGGCTGTCATAAAAATCGTACAAAACATAAATGGATATAGAGATAAACAGACGAAAAATAAGAGGTTACATGTATGAACTGAATAATTCACATATAATAACTCACAAGAATTTTATATATTAATTCTTGAAGAGAAAAGTTTGTACTCATTTTCAAGCATATTGCGAACACGAAAGACTGTAACATTTGGCACAGCTAAAGTTTATACGAAGAAGGAGTGCAGAAAGCGAAAATTTATTATAAATTGTGTTATAAATTCATTAAATAAAGTAAAACATTAATTGTTTACGTTCATACTGCCAATGTCAAACACATAATTAGTCTGTGGTCAAACAGTCGCACGGAGTAAACTTTGGCGCCATAGATTTATATACTAATATATAGTTGACGCGAGTAACCCGGGTTCGATCTCCGCCGGTACCAATGAAATCGTTAATTGCAATTTTAAGTGCTGATATACCATGTGTCGGTGGTATATCATCGTCAAAACATCGTGAGGAAACCTGCATATCTGAGGAATAAAAAAAAATTCGAAGACATGTGAAGTTCGCCAATATGCATTGGGGCAGCGCGACGGACACTTCCTTGCCCTAAAACCCTCTCGGAAATGAAAGGAGGCTTGTGCCGAGCAGTGGGACGTAAATAGGCTGTAACTTTACTTTTTTATACAGTTGACAGCATAAATACATTGAGAATTGAGAATAGAGATTAATATTGAGAACTAGAAAAAATATTTCGAAGACATGTGAAGTTCGCCTACACGCATTGGGGCAGCGCGACGGACACTTCCTTGCCCTAAAACCCTCTCAGAAATGAGGGGGAGGCCTGTGCCCAGCAGTGGGACGTATATAGGCTGTAACTTTACTTTACTACTTTTATGTATATTGAGATTTAAAAGTTAATTGTACAAATTTAGAATTTAGTTGGCAGATGTCGCGTAACACATACAAAACATACCTCGTTATATTCTTAAGTCGGCTAAAAATCGAAGCTCACCAATTTATAACCTTAGCTCGATATCTCCTAAAAGAGTTTTGTCTCCAGCATTCCCTTATTAGCCCTAGCACGAATCCAATGGATTCTAAATTGAATCTAATGCATGACTTCGGCACTTACCATTAAATATTTGCGTCCCTCCTTGAAGTTGACCGCGTAATCCACATACAGGTACTACACATGCAGTAATACACATGCAGGTATCGTTTCTCCCACTCTAACTTAATGTCTAGCACTTGGTAATGGTGAAACACATGCGTCCGGGTGATGTCAAAGGTCTCCGGATTCACCAGGTGGCCAAGTTCCCGCTCGTTGCTAACATGCATCATGATATCCTGTAAAGAATAATTGATTTCTTACATCTATTCCATTACAGTTTATAAATGTCCACTGCTTAACATAGGCTCAGGATTTTGCCATAGTAGCCACGCTTGGCTGGCGGGTTCGCAAACGCGATTTTTATTATTTTTAATTTTTATCACGAAGATGCTGCTTCTCATCTTCCGTTTTAATTTCTCTCCGTCGCCTCTTACGACACCCACGGGAGGATATGGGATAGTAGTTATTCGAACACCGCCAAGTACACAATGTCATCATATGGCATTTTTGCTATGGGGAAATGCAGCTGATTTAGAAACTATTTTTGTTTTGCAAAAGAGGGTCATAAGAGCTATTTACAACTTAAACCCGTGAATGTCTCTTAGAGAAAAAATTAAAGAAATAATTTAATAAAAGTAAAGAATACATTAATTTTGAATATAATAATTTAGTTTAAAGTATTAAAATTATCTGAAGTTGTGAAGGAAAAGTATTATACATTTTACAAAAATAGTTGTTAAAAATAATTTTTGTCATTGCTTATGTACTGAAATTGAATCTGCAAACTTTACATTTTAGACGAAATATACCCATACAAGGTTTTTAAACCAATACCAAGTATTAATAAATATTTTTTCGCAGACACGTAATAAGAAATGTTAATGATTTCTTATATTTACGCGAACACTACACATTGAAATAATACTAGTTTTTACGGAATTTATCGCGTATATTTAACTTTTTAAATACCCGACGTTTCAAACGCTTTCAGCACTCATGGTCACGGGCAGGACTGAGATGTTCAACGTCCATATGTCATAGTTAACCGCGGTTACCATAGATTAAATTTAACTTTTGTTCCGATCTATGCAGTATGAACTTATGGTATCTTGAAGTCTTGCAGTTGTATGCTTGGGTTGGGATTTAATTTTATTTATTATAGGATCCCAAGCAGATGGTAGCACCCAGCCATCTTCTCTATTGAAATTAGGATTTTTTTTTGATTTCAATAGCCTCGCGAATCATCCTTGGAAGGAATCGGTGTTCTTTAGCGAGGATCTGCGGTCTATCAAATCTGATGTAGTGACGGGGGCGATCCTGTACGTGTTCACAGACTGCAGACTTCCCGGAGCGTCGATTCTTCACATCAGCTATATGTTCTTTAACGCGGGTTTTTATTAATCTTTTAGTTTGTCCTATGTAGGAGAGACCACATTCACAATCAAGCTTGTACACTCCTGCATCTTGCAGAGGGACATTACACTTGACCGATGGTAAAAACTGACCAATCTTCTTCAGCGGCTTGAAGTATGTTTTGATGGAAGCGCGCTTCAAGATGTAGCCAATCTTGTCAGTGACTCCTCTAACATATGGCAGTACAGCAGGTACACGCTCGACTGTGGCCGGCTTCACTCGTTCACTGTGGCGTAGGCGCGGGACTCGAAGCTTGTTGTCATGCAAAACTTGCTTGACATGGTGGAGCTCTGCAGCCAGGTGTTTACTGTCACAGATCCCTCGTGCTCTCTGAAACAAAGATTTACCCACGGTAGCTAACTTTTTGAATGATTTAAAAAGTTAAATATACGCGATAAATTCCGTAAAAACTAGTATTATTTCAAAGAAATGTTAAGTTTCGTTCAAATACTTAGTTTGTTGACGGCTAATTACACTGAGGGCTGACTTTTCTATCAGCAGATTCATCCAAAAAGTTCAATAAAATGTTCATCTATCTAAAAAATTATAACCCAGTTGAATATAACAGTGAAATAATTGAAGTCCTTTATTCATAAAATTGTAATTTTTAATTTATTTCTGTTGTGTTTTATCCTATGAATAAATTTTATTGAAGGATTGGAACATCTGATTGCCTGAACAATAAATGTGTGATGACGGTGTATATTGTGTGAGCACCATGTTGTCAACAAATGCCGTGAAATTCGACAAAGCGGTTTGAGAGACAAGCTAGAGGTTTCCAACTGTTCATAAAATTGATGTTATCAATATGTTTCATTAATCGGAACATACCGACCCAAGATTATATTTCAATAAAATAGATAATCTTAAATAAGAATAAGTGTAAGGTGCAGTGGCGAAGCCTCTATACAAACCCAAAAGCCCGGCTTGCCTCATTAAGATGAATCAATCAATTATATCAAGTAATAAAATAACTCGTAAACTGTTTCAATCTATTTCAAATTTCCCGCGCACTCTGTTCGACCTCGTAGCCTTACGAATACTGCTTCCATACATATTACATATAAGGAGAGTTGAATTGAGTCATTGGTTGTCTCCCTCGCACACGTGGGCTTTTTACCGGGCTTTCGAGAAGGCGATCGCTCCCTTTCTAACCTGTGGCAAAACGTTCTATAATGAAATATAACTACGATTGTATAAATAGCAATAAGTATGGAGATAAAAAGCCCGGCTTTTTAGTGACCATTAATTTTTTCCTCAGAGCGGGACGCCTTTAAAATTATTATAGTTCTAACACTTTTGACTGCCTTCTTGGTCTAATGGCAGTAAACGCTATTGCTGATCATGTGGTCCCAAGCTAGAAACCCGAGTCGGGTCAAGAATCATTTATTGGGTTTTTTCCGTCACATAATTCTCAGTAGCAGTAGTATTACACTTATTGTATATATTAGTATTGTTACGAGCTTGAGGTTCGTGACAATAAAAATTGCCGATAAAATTACCTAAATTAACACTTTAATTTACTTTAAACAAATTAAATCTTAAAACACTAATAATTAAACACACTAATTCACTTAATTTCGCTCCGAAGCTTCGCTCGTATCGCCAATTCAATACTACTCCCATCGCATCTTGCAGCGCCTATATATTTAAATTAGCAAAGAAATATCCAGAATGTTCAAGTAAACACGCGGAAGGTACCGAGCGTTCGAGTTTCGACTAGGCGCTGTCAGTTGAGTGATTTGTGATGTCATTTTCTCAATGCTCCCCTCGCTCTCGTTCCTGACACTAGATGGCGCTAGTTGACTTATTCATGCAACACTGCCCCCTCCTAAGACATGCTCGTCCCGAGCATTATCGGTCCCATAATAACGCGCCAAGCGATCCACATGGACGATCTTAGGAGTCCCTCTTGCGCCTTTCTGTATCCGGTAGGTCACATCGTTGATCCTGGTTACAATACGGTACGGGCCGTCCCATTTAGCTTGAAGCTTAGGAGATTTCCCTTTGCTGCGGACTGGATTGTGCAACCACACAAGTGAACCTTCGTCGAACCCTTTGTTGTTCATTCTGCGGTCATACCGGGTTTTCATCTTTTCAGACATTTGCTGGCCCGATTGTCTGACGTGCTCATAAACGTCATTCATTTTTTTCATTTGCATAATCGGTTATACTGCGTGGAGCATCGGGTGGTATCCCGGTGATCAGGTCTGCAGGCAGCCGTAATTCTCTTCCAAAGTTTGCGAAAGCTGGTGTCACTGCTGTACTTTCGTGAACAGAACTTCGATATGACAACAAAAACGGTTGTATGTGCTTGTCCCAATCTCGTTGCCGATTGTCTACAACTTTTGCTAGGTACCTCTCCAATGTCTGATTAAATCGTTCCACCATTCCATCAGATTGCGGGTGATAAGAAGTCGTTCTTGTTTTATGAGTACCCATAACTCGGCAAGTTTCCTGGAATATTTGAGACTCAAAATTCCTTCCTTGATCGCTGTGAATCTCTAAAGGTACTCCAAAACGACAGAAGACTTCATGAACTAGTTTATCTGCAACTGTTGAAGCTTCTTGATTTGGAATGGCGAAGACTTCTGGCCACTTAGTGAAGTAATCCATCACAACCATGAAATACTTGTTACCGCTTTCACTCTCCGGAAACGGCCCCGCCACGTCAATGGCTATTCTCTCCCATGGTGCGCCCACATTGTACAACTTCAATGCACCTCTACTACGAGTCTGAGGTCCCTTTACAGCCGCACAATTTGTACATTTGCGACACCAGTCCTCGACATCGTTTCGACAGTGGACCCAGTAAAACCGTTCTCGGATCTTCAGTAGAGTTCGCTTAACTCCCAGATGGCCTCCTGAATAATCATTATGGTACAGCTGTAGAACATCCGGTACTTTAGCTTTAGGGACAACCATTTGTAAATGACAGCTGTCTCCCCGAACATTTTCCCATTTACGGCACAGAACTCCATCCTGAAGCAGCAAGCTGTCCCACTGGGCCCAGTAGCTTTTAGTGGTCGAACTCATCGCTGAGACGTCGCTCCACTTGGGCTTGCGAGCACTGACCTTCATCCATTCCCGGATCGGCTTGATGTCCGGATCTTCCTGCTGTGCACGTTGTAAGCTGTCCTTCCACTCGTTGCTGAGGTGGTCTGCCCTGAGCATCCTCACGGATACCACTTCCTTACTCTCTTGCCTAGTACAATGTTTGCAATCTTCAGGACAAGGTCTTCTTGACAATGCATCTGCGTTGCCATGAGATCTCAAAGTCGTATTCCTGCAGTAGTTCAATCCACCTCGTAACTTGTCCTTCTGGATTTTTAAACTGCAATAGCCATTTTAGTGCAGCATGGTCAGTTCGTAAGTGAAATTTTCGCCCCAGAAGATATTTGCTAAAATGCTGCAACGACTTTACCACAGCTAGCAATTCGCGTCTTGTGACACAGTAGTTCCTTTCCGGTTTTGACAACGACTTGCTGAAGTACGCTATCACGACCTCTTGGTCACCATTACGTTGAGACAACACACCGCCAAGTCCTATATCACTTGCGTCTGTGTCAACTATAAATTCTTTGCTTGCATCAGGGTATCCCAAAATAGGT